GGAACCTCTGGAGCTGGAAGTAGATGACGGAAGAAATTCTGAGTCTAAATGGACCAATATATAGGGTTGCTATGAGTCCGAATCGACTCGATGGCAACAGGTTTGGTTTTTTTTGGTTTTTAAATGGACCAAGCAATGCAGAGGTATGGGCAGCATGGTTTATTATCTGTAGGAGGGAATACACAGAGGAGTGTGCAGAATTTGGGGTGCTTTGTGACCAGCCTCAGGCTCCTCAGACCTGTGAGGGACAGTCAGTGGTCAGCCAGGTACAAGGGATGTGTGTGATGTGCTCAGGTGGCTTGGGTCCTGTGGACGAGAAAAGCAGCAAACGTAAGGCTTGGTTCATGGGTATAAGGAGCCCATAATATAGTTGGGAAGGGGAGATGTGTACCAGGAGATCGGGGGGTAGCACCTGAGGGCCGCCAGCCCAGCGGGGGAGACCCTGGTGAGCTTGGGGCAGGTGCTTCTTGGAGGTTGGAGCCTTAAAGGATGGGGGGATTTGGACTGGCTGCATGTATGCCTGCGTTTATAGGGCAAGGGAGCAAGGATCTGTGTGAGGGAGCCTGAGGGCTTGGCTAGAATGTGGTGTGGGCTCTCAGATAAGTATGAGATACCAGACAGGTACTCTGGTGTTCACAGAATTATAGATGGGGCATCTCTGGGGTGAGGATCTTTTCTGTAGCTGTGCGTAGGGCTCCACTATCACTCCTGGCTTTGTTGTTCAGGGTTCCCAGTTGGTACATGGCAGTGAATAGTATTCGGGTCATAAAACACATGTGTTGAAGCCAGCTCATTTGAATTCTATAGGAGGTGCTGCTGGTACAGACCTTAGCAGAGGCTTGAAAGCCTGTTTTGTGTGACTGTGTGAGAGGAGAATCTGAGTGTAGTGACAAGTAGGGGCTGAATGCTCCATAGCACAGTGGAGTGGTTTTTTGTTCTCTGTTCCTGTGAATTTATGAGAGTGACGATAGGAAGATAGGGAGAGGACCAGTAAGTATTTTTAGGGTTGTCTTTGCATGGAAAACATGTTTCCAAAAATATGTTTTGGAAACATCTCATTTTAGGTGGGAGAAAATGCTAACGTGTGTCAGCTCCATCGCCAGACTTATGTTGGGGGAGTGGCAGCGTTGCTGAAGCCAGGAAGTGCGTGGGCTTTGGAACTCATTTTCCATTTGAGAGGCTGGACCTCTGTGACCCAAGCATCATTTCCACGGCAACCAGCTGTGCTAAGATGGGGGTTTTGACCTTGCAGGACCATTGCAACAAGAAGCGGGTGAGCTTTTATATAGAAAATTTACTGTACAGCCTTGAACAAGTCCTGTGTAATGGAATCTGTTTCCTCACCTCTGAAGTAGAGAAAGAAAAATGACATTCTTTTGATGATGTGCTGAGGAATTCGTGTTGGGAAAGCACATAGGTAGGAATACAAATACACATGCTATTGTTATGACCACATTGTTGACCTAACTAAAACCTCCAAGGTTTCGCCTGCTGCAGAAGAGCGGCTGCCTCTGCAAGGCTGTCTGACTTGTGTGGCTGTCACAGCCCTGCCTCACCTCTCTGGCCTGGGCTTTCAGTGCTCAACACCTCCCACACTCTTCATAGTCAAACGGCCTCCTGGCTGCTTCTCAACAGGCTGAGCTCACTCCCACCTCCGGGCCTTTGCATTGCAGTTCCCCTGCCTGGACACTCTTCCCAGAGAGCTGCATGGCTCCCACCCTGCCTTTGTCAGTCACTGCTAGAGGAGTCATAACAGACCCCCCATAGGAGAAGGTGTCCTGGGATTCCCTTCCCCCTACAGCTTCATGTTTCTTCATAACACTCCTGACCTCTTGAAATTGTATAAGCTTCCCAAGAGCAGGGTTGCTACTGTTGTTTTCTTTTCTGTTTTGAAGGCACTTTGTTCTCTGCTGTACACGCAGAACAGTGTCTGGCACATAGTAGGTGCTCACTAGATACTTGTTGCATAATGAGTTTAATCCTCATGAAAAACCTTTTTACTTTTCTTTTAAGGAAACAATTTCAGAGAATGGATAACTTACCCCAGATAATAGATAGCAAGTGGCAAATAGTGATTTAAACCCGGGGTTGACACTAAGTTGTCTTGCCTTTTTTCCCTCCCGTTCACAAGGACTGATGCCTTCACTCATTTCTCTGGCTATTCAGTCCTTACACCAGGCTTGCCCAGGCTGATCTGGGCTCTCCTCTGGTTCCATTCCAACTACTGACAGTGCCCCACCCCAGCTCCCCACTTGCAGACTTCTCAGTGCAATGTGGTGTTCTTGGAGTGTTGTGCTCTTGACATTCGAAAGTGGCAACTGCTAATCTGAGAAGTGGGTTCAGTGACAGGGCCTGGCTTCTTCTCCATCTGGGAGGAGAAGGGGTGAGGAGCTTGTGTTCCAGGGTATGGCAGTGACGTGCTGGGCGTGCCAGGCACCTCTGAGACCTATACAGTCTTTCAGTCTCCCCCTCGTGGGATCAGACGTGGTAACAGCTTCCAGAAGTTTCCCTGAGGAAGTCTCCCTGGAGGATTGTTTTGATATCCTGTTCTTTAGGGGTGTTATTCATATTGTCGTTGTTAGGTGCCATCAAGTCAGTTCTGACTCAAAGCAACCCTATGTACAACAGAACGAAACACTGCCCGCTCCTGCGCCATCTTCACAATCCTCGTTACGCTTGAGCCCATTGTTGCAGCCACTGTGTCAGTTCATCTTGTTGAGGGTCTTCCTCTTTTTCACTGACCCTCTGCTTTACTAAGCATGATGTCCTTCTCCAGGGACTGGTCCCTCCTGATAACATGTCCAACGTATGTGAGACAAAGTTTTGCCATCCTTGCTTCTAATGAGCGTTCTGGCTGTCCTTCTTCCAAGACAGATTTGTTCATTCTTCTGGCTTTCCATGGTATATTCAATATTCTTCCTCAACACCATAATTCAAAGGCATCAATTCTTCTTTGGTCTTCCTTATTCATTGTCCAGCTTTCACATGCATATGAGGTAATTAGGAACACTATGGCTTGAGTCAGGCGCACCTGAGTCCTTAAAGTGACATCTTTGTTTTTCAACACTTTAAAGAGGTCTTTTGCAGCAGATTTGCCCAATGCAATGCCTCATTTGATTTCTTGACTGCTGCTTCCATGGGAGTTGATTGTGGATCCAAGTAAGATGAATCCTTGACAACTTCGATCTTTTCTCCATTTATCATGATGTTGTTTATTGGTCCAGTTTTGAGGATTTTTTTCTTTATATTGAGGTGTAATCCATACTGAAGGCTGTGGTCTTTAATATTCATCAGTAAGTGCTTCAAGTCCTCTTCACTTTCAGAAAGCAAGGTTGTGTCATCTGCATATCGTGGTTTGTTAATGACTCTTCCTCCAATCCCAATGCCGCCTCCTTTTTCATATAGTCCCACTTCTGTGATTATTTGCTCAGAGATTGAATAAGTGTGGTGAAACGATGCATCCCTAACGCACACCTTTCTTGACTTTAAACCGCACAGTATCCCCTTGTTCTGTTCGAACAACTGTTATTCATATACTAACATTTATTTTTACGTTACCTAATATTTTCTTACGTGATGGTGTACCTAGTGTTTAATTTATATATCATCTTTTTCACCATACTTGAGATGCTTTGACCCTACCATAATCCCTGGAAAGGTGGGGCAAAGCAAATAATAGCTCATGTATTACAAACTGTGAATGGTGCCATAATTATGAATACTTTGGCTGGCAGAGAATTTCATTTATTGGACAGATATTTGAGCTCCAAGACCTTTTTAATTTTCAAGTTGCAAACTGTAAGCATTTAGTTTTCTACTCTCAGACATAATAATTTAAGCTAGTTTATTGACTAAAATTACTATAAGAAGAAGCCTTAGACACTCTTTCTCGGGTAGTACTTTATTATTGCAGTCTCTGTACTGAGAAATATTAGTGTTATTTTCCTGTTTGTTCCACAACATCTGCTTTTCTTTCTTTAGGAAAAGTTCGGTGGCAGGACTTTAACCAGGAAGCTTATGTTGGAGTAACGATGGTCCGATCTGGGCAGGACCCCTACGCCCGGAACAAGTTCAACCAGGTAGAAAGTGATAAGCTGCGAATGGACAGAAACATTCCTGACACTAGACATGATCAGTAAGTATACTACTAAGCATCGGCTGGTGGCTATGTTTGCTTGTGCACAAGCCAGTAGCTTCTGCTGGAACACTAGATTTTTTCTGTTTTTCTGGGAAACTTAACATGTATTGTATCTTTATAGTATGGTAAAACTAGGAAAAACTTTCAGGCATGTGCAATGGTACCTCACCCCTCAGAAGTGAAAGGACCACGTTAATCTGGTTCTAGTCTTCAGTTTCCTAGGGCAGTATATGGAGTCTCTGGGTTACTGGGCCAAACCATGGTAGTCAGAAAGAGAACATTGTGCTATTTACCTCATATTTACTGATAATTTGTTATTTTTGAAGTCCATTCACTAAATTTCCATGGTTCATAGTCTCACTGGAAAGAAAAAAAACCTAACTCCTATTTATTGGGACAGCTTAAATTGGGAATGTTCTAAAGACTAGAAAGAGGAAACAAATAAGCCAGCAGTGGCTAGATGTCAAATTAGGCAGAAACATAGGAGACAGGAAAACACGTTGACATTTGACCACACTCTTGGCTCTGAAAGACTCTCTTCTGTACCCTTCTTTTGATTCTTTAAAGATCTGGGACCCAGGGTCATGGGGACCCTGTGGTTTATCAAGCTTGTCCCCAGGTGTCTGCAAACATTTTAGAGTGTATTTGTTACCACTTATCAGGAGAGTGAGATTTACAACCTGATTGTCATCCTATACCGGTAACCCTTGCTGGTAAGAATCTTTGATTTGGAGGCTGTTCAAATTGTCATTCTTAGTAGATTAGTCTTGCTTCAGATTATTAAAAATAGGACTTTGTCCTTCTAGGTGCTTGATAGGTCTTCCTGCTCAGTTACTGTAGTCATTCATTTGTCACTTAATATAACATTGATTAAATGTCTGTTGTGGGTCAGAGTCTGTGGTTGGGTCTTGGGAGTTAACGCCAAGAATGCCAAGCCCATTGGGCTGGTAGATGACACGTACGTCAACAAGTAAGAGCACTGTGGGGCTTGGACTGCTCAAGAGTCAGGGCACTGGGGACCCAGGAGCAGTCAGCACGGCGAGCAGGTCAGGAAGGGCTCAGGGAGGGATAAGTCTTGGGTGGGAGAATTCCAGGAAGAGGGAAAGTGGAAAGGCTGTGACAGGGCAACTCCTGGCTTCCAGAGAGCCAGCACGGTATCTGGTTTCACTAGATGCATGTTTCAGCAACTGAAGGGGAAGGCAAACCTAGCTGAAAAGACACGAAAGGCCAACTAAGTCACACGCCTTGTTTTATAAGTTAGTGGCATAAATTGAGAGAGGAATTTTTTCATCTTTCCTATTCTCACAGAACTTTACTAACAGGGTAGGCACCAGTTAACTGCCAGATGCTCCCTTTCCCTAAAAGTTTTCTTTGCATTCTCGTCAGCTCTGTTTACCCATAAACAGCTCGTATTTAAGAAGCACAGCTGACCCTTTGTATCTGTGGGTTCCGCTTCCGCGTATTCAACCAACCTTGCAGATTTAAAATACGAGTAGTCCCCCCTTATCCACGGTTTTGCTTTCTGCTATTTTGGTCAACCGTGGTCCTGGG